ATGCTTATCAGCCAATTTTTATAGACATTCTCTCCTTACTATCACAATGGTAGGAGGTTGGTATTGCTATTTCCCTTTATGATTTCCACCCAAGTTAATTGAGAAATTAGTCATCATATGTGCATTTGACTAGGTGAACATAAGGACAAAAATCCTAAATTCTATTAGTCAAACATATTTGACCTAGTTAGAGAAACTCATTCATTGATTTGCACTTAAGTGTTGAGAACCCCCATGATATTGAGTCTAGTTCCCTAATATCATTATCTGATAGTTTACCCTATTTGCTAGACACCCTCGTTATCATGCTATATATGTTAGTTCCATTTTAGTACTATATGCTATTCATAGTAAATATAAGCAAGGGGGTTCCAACTGTATATTAGAGATAATGGTTGAAATGTATGGTTGACCACCTAAGGCATTAGTTTTGTTTTTGTTAGGTTGTGTTGCTTTTTATTCTACATTCAGCTTGGGTCTAAGCCTATAGCATACATGAATTTGGAGTTGAACTCCAAGCCCATTGCGCTACAAAACGAGGGTCCAGTATAATCTCGCGAGCACCAACTCCCCATATCCAACACTTGCAAGTAAAATGGTGTTAAACAGTGTCTAACACAAGTTTGACATGCCGGTGGTTTAACATAAGGAGGAGGGCACCCCACCCACTAGAGCAACATGGAGCTTAGGCTTAGACCCAAGCCGGATGCAGAACAAAGAGTGACACAACCTAGTAAAAGCCAAATTAATCATGTGGTCAGACATGCATTCCAACCATTATCCCTATTATATATTTGGAACCCTCATAGCTGCCCCCTCCCTTAAGGAACACATGTTTTGGTCTTTTACCCCAAGCCTCCTTTAGTACCAAGAGTTAGTCTCTGAAAGAAGCTCGAAACTTACTAAATATAGAATGTCTCTAGATTACAAATTTAGACACAGGATGAACACCATTGTGTTCAAAATAATCTCTACATTCCATAGATATGCCAAATGAGCAAATCTAGACACTTTATATAATAGCATTTGGGACCGGAATGAGACTAATATAAAGGGTATGATAGCGAAAATGTTTTGCAAACACAATAAGCTATTGTAGCGCACCTGAATTTGGAGCTAAACTCCAAGCCCATTGCGCTACAAAATGAGGGTTCAGTACAATCCCACGAGCATTAGCTCCCCATATCCAGCACCTGCACGCAAAATGGTGTCAGACGGAATCTGGCACAATTTTGGCATACTGATGGCCTAACGCGAGGAGGAGGGTACCCCGCCGACTAGAGCAGCGTGGAGCTTGGGCTTAGACCCAAGCCGGACGTAGAACAAAGAGCGACACAGCCTAGCGGGAGCCAAACTAATGTCTCAGGTGGTCGGACATGCATTCCAACCACTATCCCTACTATACATTTGGAACCCCCCATAGCCCCCCCCCCCTTTGAGGAACACATGCTTTGGGCTTTCACCCCAAGCCTCCTTTAGTATCAGGAGTTAGTTTCTGGGACAAGCTCGAAACTTACTAAATATGGAATGGTGCTAGATTGTGAATTTGGACATGGGACGAACACCATTATGTTCAGGCCAATCTCTACATTCCGTAGATATGCCAAATGAGCAAATCTAGACACTTTCCATAATTAATGTTTAGGACCGAAATGAGACCAACACTAAGGGCATGATAGCGAGGGTGTTTGGCAGACACGGTAAACTATCATTCAGCGATATTGAGGGACTAGTCTCAATACGCGAGGGTTCTTGCCAAGCCAGTGCAAGATAGAGCAAAAGAGAACTAAAAAGCTAGGCCAAGCATGTTTGGCCAAATAAACACTTAGGAATTCCGTCCTTATGCTCATCCGGCCAAGTACAGATGCTAAGTCCAGTTTACTAACACTTGGACAAGAGGGGCCAATAAAGGGAACCAGCAGTACCGACCTCCTGCTGTCATGGCAGTAAAGAGAGAGTGTCCATAAGGATTAGCCGACAAGTATCTTTCAATACCCGAAGTCACATTCGTGACAGCTTCTATGTAATAATATTGAGGGACTAGACTTAATACGCAAGGATTTTTGCCAAGCCAGTGCAAGACAGAGAAAAAAAGAACTAACAAGCCAGGCTAAGTATGTTTGGCTAAATAAACACTTAGCAATTCCTTCCTTATGCTCATCCGGCTAAGTACATATGCTAAGTCTAGTTTACTAACACTTGGATAAAAGGGGGTAATAAAGGGAATCAGTAATACCAACTTCCTGCTGTCATAGTAGTAAAGAGAGAGTGTCCGTGTAAGCTCATGAGTTTGGACTTTTCGAGAGGTCACCCAGCCTAGTACTATTCAAACCCAAGGATGCTTAACCCTAAATATCCCAAGACCCTTAACCAATTGGAAAAGGGGGTGCACTTTTATTCATGGGCCCTTTCCTTCTATATTTGAACCTTTATGGATCGTTTTTCAAGTCATACCCTTCGGTTACTTATAATTCACCACACTTCCCTGCAAGTTCACGCCCTCATGAATGGAAGCTGAGAGCTGTAGCTCTTTCGACACGCTACCCCTTGGGTTGAGCCCAGCCAAATCAAACTGGACCTACCAGATGTTAATCAACATGTGGTGTGATTCCTCTAAGCTAACCAATAGAGTTGGACCCAAGACCTCTCTAATACTAAATGTAAGTTCCTGAGTTTGGACTTCCCAGGAGGTCACCCACCCGAGTACTATTCAAACCCAAGGACGCTTAACCCCCAAATCTCCCAAGACCCTTAACCAATTTAAAAAGGGGGTGCACTTTTATTCATAGGCCCTTTCCTTTTATATTTGAACCCATATTGATTGTCTCTCGAGTTGTTCCCTTTGTTTGCTTACACCCTAGGCCCTAAAAAGGAGCCAAAAGGATGCCATGTGGTAGTGGTTGAGGCAAAAGACAAATGAGTGTAACACATATGGACTAAAAACTCCGACTCGAAAAGTCGAGAGCGAGAGTGAAACTCCCAATGAAGTGCTCGAAGAACGAGCATAAAGCGAGCAATAAGTGAGTGTCTAAAAAAGGGACACAAAAGAACCAACATATGACACATGGAAGGACCCGAGATGGAATCTGAGATGGACCCGAGATGGAGTCCGAGATGGAGTCCAAGATGGAACTGAGACTGAGACCGAGACCAAGACCAAAACCATGTGTTAGGTGATGATATATCCATTGAGGAGTCCAAGGCTAGAGTGAATACGAATAGACAAGCAGGGTAACTTGGTGAGGTGTTCAAGAGCCGGCTCTAGTTCCCCTGGGAAATTGATTGGTCGATGCTCCCAGTCCAAGTGTGGATGGCACTACTTATTTGGATACCTAGCATGGCTCAACGAAACCTTGCTCTAACCCCATGGCTAAAGCACCCAAAGGTGGAAGGTGGGGAGAATACTTATGAGGCCCATGTAGGGCTACGGTGTTTCGAAATGTTATCCCAAAGTCCTGAATGGTGGAAAGGAAGAAAAGCAATCTTTTGGTGTAGTGACCAAGGATGCGGTCATATGGTGAGGAAGTCTCAAAGAACAAGGAGACTTAGTGGTTGGGCTTGTTCATCCAGTGGCAGTGGTGGCAAACACGGCGACGGACAGAAAGGGACTTGGTGGGGATCGAAAAAATGATGTTGAAGAAAGCTATTCTCCATGTCTGCGAGCATTTTACGGATGCTAAAGAGTGGATTTGAGATGACTACTCATGGATAGATGGCCCAGTCTTTGAAAGATAGGACTGTAATGTAGGTGGTGTTAGATCACCAGTATGACAAAGGTGAATAGGTATGGCCTTAGCATAATGGGCTGATATGTCTGTGGTACCTTTGGGTGACAGTCATGGGATAAGACACATAGAGCACTTGGACCAAGTGCAAAGGTTGAGTAACATAGATGCCATTCTCAGGGCTAGTAAGCCCCAAGTCCTAAATTAGACTTATGAAAGTTGTGAATGAGAATCTTCCAAGTGGTCAAAGATATGGTTAAATGACTAAAGTAGAATGGAAAATTAATTGTTTACAATCTGTAAAGACTAGCTAACAAGTATCTTTCAATACTAAAAGTCACATTTACAACAAAGCTTAAACTCTATAGTGCTTTATTTGGTGGCATATTCTTTTCCTTATGTTAAGCCACTAGTATGCCAAAATTGTGCTAGACATTTTCTGACACCATTTAGTATGTAAATGTTGGATATAGGGAGCTCGTGTTTGTAGGATTGAGAATGTATTGGACCTTTGTTTCATAGTGCAATGAGCTTAAAGTTTAGCCCCAAATTTAGATATGCTATAGGGATGTTAAAAGCTCCAGGACTGTTCTAAATCACACTATACTCTTGCCCTTTCACTCATTGGGTTGTATGTTCAAAAGTAATTCCATGCTTTATTTTCTTCACTCTTTGGTTCCATGCTTAATAGTTTGGCTTTGCCCCTTCATTCAGTGGCCTAAAGCTTTGAAACTTGGGTTTCACTACATTGTCCTTAGACGTGGTATGTGGCACATGGCAAATGGTACATGGCATATGGAGGATTAAAATTCTGCTCCATAGTTATTCTATGGTAAACCATCATAGGGTACAAGGTGAAAAACATATACACTACAATTAAACAACAATAAAGTCTCTAATATGAAAATCAATATATAACTAGTATGTGATAAGCATCAAAAACTTGATATAAAGAAGACACAATCACATAAACAATGTTGTTAGGTGACAATAATGATATATCATTTATAGCTTTGAATGACACACTCTTTAATCAACAATAGCATAACATAGTATGTAATAAAAGTTGAAAAGGAAGAACAGTATAAACACAAATCTAGATCTAAAAGAGAATGAAGGAATAAAAACAAAAAAACAATTCTAAACACTAAATAAAACATTGTTAAAAAACTTTCCTTTTCAAAGACAAATTATCACTAATATTTATATATAATAATGGATGGATCAAATTCGATCTTAAATGAATAGTCCATATATTATAATATTATAATTAAAGCATTACCAAAAACAGAGTTTGATCATATCACTTAGAGGAAAGGTGCCTCCAATCCCAGTGCGATCTCCTCGAATTGCTTAGCAGTCATGAAGGAGATGCTTCCAAACAAAACATAGAGAACTGAGCTCTGGCCATGGAAGACAAGATTCATCTGGAGTTCTCAGGCTAACCTCTTTCAATCCAGTTGAATTGATGGCTTCTCCCTTGAGAGGAAACAATGGTCCAACAGGCACAAAATTCGCCTCGAATCCTTCCCTCATCGCTTCAAAAACTCGCAGCTCGATGTCATGGACAGAGTTTATCAGAAACCAAGAATCCCGTGTGATCCTCTTGGAGAGATGCAATGACTGCTCTTCCCTGACTTTCTGGAATTCTCCATCGTGCATGAAGAGTGGAGATCTTAGCTCCATTCCAGGGATGTAAGAGATCAGCTTGTCATCTCCCTCTATCACATTCTTGAAAACTTCCATGTTTTCTTAGAACAAACTTCTAGATTCATCGAAGCTTTACCTTTGACAGGAACGTCTCCCATCTCCAGGAGCTTTGGAACGTGGAATTCGATGGCAGCCCAAGCAGCATTTCCCGGCCAAAAGCTCGCTCCAGCCAATCCAGCCTTTTTTTTGCATCATGTGGAGCACTGAGATGGTAAAATTCCGAGACGACTCTGCTTCTCGATCGATCCAGGACAAGAGCTCCGCGAGTGGATCCTCGATGGACTCAAGGCGAATGTCCTGGCCATTATTCACAGGATTGGCCTCGCTCTTCCAGGGTTGCTGCAAGGTTTCGTGGATGCTATCAACGTTGATGATGGTCACAGTGACTCCAAGGAGCGCGAGCTTGCGGGCAAGATAGACGAGTGGAACGACATGTCCCTGTGCTGGAAGTGGGATAAGAACAACGTGAAGTTTCGAGAGAGAGCCCATGGATGATGATTAGACCAGTTTAGAAAGAGGGAGTTTGAGCTACCAGCATTTATGGGCTGAATTGGACATTGTTGTTTCCTCTATGTCTTGTCTTTCATTATTTGTATGATTGGCAATAAGGAACCATACAGTCCAGTATTAGGGTAATATTTAGTGGTGAGAATTCTACATTCTGGCTTGAAGCCTACATATTTGTTTTGTCCTTGTGTTATTTGTGAATCAGACAAACAAGTTAAAGTTGAATTTATTACTAAGATTATTCTAATTCCTTTTAACAACCTTTAAGGCATTTAAAACTTTTAAGCTCAGATTAGAGAGTTTAGATAGTTTTTTATCAGAACCCCTTCTATTTGACTGCTTCTTTTGTGGAAGATTATGTAGATCAAATTCCTCATGCTCTGAGTGACCAGTGGAAGTCCTCTCAAAAACAATCAACTTGCATTGAGGTGCTAGCGTTAACTTCCCTTCGTTTTTCACATCAAAGTATCTGATGGTCAACTCTCGCGTTTTAGGGTTGGGCTCGTCCTGGTCGTAGTCTCCCATTGGAAACCACCATTGGCAGGGATACTCTATGTTGCCCCATAACCGGAATTTGTAATACCGGAGATTGGATCGAACAATTGCTTTCGTGACAAGAGTGTCCTTGGAAAGCTGGCCAACTTTAAAAGGATTTTGATAGTCCACCTTTTGAGGATTAATGTATTTCAACTCTAACTCCTCCACAGGCTTCTGGGGATTGTCCTTGCTATAAAAACTCACAATCGTAGATACCTCAAATCCAGAGAGAGGTTTGACAAGGATGAATCTCAGCTTGGTGAGCTTGAATCTTGCTTCTCGACCTGTTTTACCCAAAAACTTCCACTCTCCGTCTTGATCCTCTTTCCCAAATACTTCACACTCTAGATTGTTGGTGTTGGAAGAGAATAAAATCTTCTCCACTTTCATTACCCTTGGGAGTTCTACGACTAATTCTTTGCTATGATCCATAAGAATCCTATCAAACCCTAATTCTTGGAACTCTTAAATAGAAGTTTCACAAAAGGTAGCTTCCTTTCGAGAGGTTTCTTTCTTCGCTGGGCTGCTCCGGGGTCAACCCAGAAAGGGGACTTTGATCGCGAAATAGAGTTGCTTGACAGGAGAGAAATCTGGTTTTTTGGGGTGCTCATGAAGCACACGACCGGCAAGTGGTGGTTGTCTTCAAAAGCCATGATCATCACAATCCAGCAAATAGTGTCGTGGACGCTTGCTTGGGTTTGTGAAGACTGTGACAGTCTACGGCATTTCCCATACATATTCACCAGCAAGATGGTCCTTGATCGATGATCTTGGCGTGGAACGCTTGTCCAGTTTCAAGCTTGCCGACGTCAGCACAGGCACCCAGTGCTGCGATGAAAGTTATCTCGTTTGGTTTGATCCTTTCGAGCTGCATGGTTTTCAGCAGCTCTAGAGCTCGGAGATTAAACAGCGAGAGCATTGAGTTCTAAGTCACGATGTTTTGTTTCTTTGCGGGCGTGGAATCAAACGCTTGCTTTGCACGAAATGCCTGCCCTTTTTGAGCATATGCAATTGATCGCCATTTCATACTTGTCAAGGATTACATCAAAGATCTTGCTTGCCTTCTCCAAGACCATTGTGAGCAAACGCTTATAGCATTGTAGTTTGAGCGATTACGTCCTTCTCAGGCATGAGAGCAAACATCCTCTCCGTATTTGCAATTTCCCCTGCTTTGGCATACGCAGTGATCATCACAGTGTAGACGTGAATGTTTGATTTCTCCATCGCATCAAACAAACGGTTCACTTCTTCAAGCCGATTGTGCACTGCGTAAGCCGATATCAGAGCACCTCAAGAAACCGGATTTTTCTCAGGCATCTTATCAAACAACGTTTTCGCACTATCTAGATCCCCTTTATGGGTAAATGCGGTAACCATCACAGTCCATGCCACTACATTCTTCTCGGCATTCGATCAAACAGTTCCTGGGCTTGATCCAAGTTCCCATCACCTGCGTAGTGTCGTAACATCTCTCTTGGGCATTGCTTCGAACCATGCTGGAACGTCGTCCCAAGGTTCCATTCTGGGCAATCGCCAAGAGCAGAAGACATTGGGTCGGCAGATGTGATTGAAGGCAATCTAGACCATGTCCCCACATGAGATTCACAAGGAAAACATTGACCTATTGTGGCTGCTAATAATCTTGTGAATTTCTTTCACCTGGTGGGATTGCCCGGCAGATCGTAGGAAGAAAGAAACCTCTCGAAAGGAGCTAAGGCTATCTAAAGTTCCTGCTGTAGTGGGGGTGGTCTAAAATTGAGTTAAAGTTTAGAAGTTTAAGTTAATTTAATGCAAGTCAATGTACTTAATTATAAGTCTTATAAAGGAAATTTTAATTAAAGAAATGAAGGTTTTGATAAACTTTAAAATATTGAAATGTACAAGTAATTAGATACTACTAAATTGAGTATTTTAGAAAAAAATTTGTTGTAGCAATGTTTGTTTTGCATAATAGTAGTGTTATTCTTATTTATTGATCAAATGAAAACTTATAATTATAAATATGTATATACTTTATAAAGACAAGATTAATCTTATTGAATATCAACCATTAAATGGTAAAATAAAAAATAATATATTAAAAAGTGTATAGGAAAATTTATAAATTATAAACATGTTTATAAATTATAGAAAATAAATAACAACCGTTAAATGGTAAAAAATTCTAGAATATCCAAATATATTCTAGGTGTGTCAGGTTTGCTTAAGTAAACCAAAAACAAAATTCATAAGGACTTTATCTTTTCTAAAATTATATTATTTTACTACAACTACTTTTACAAATGCTACTAGATGGGAATATAGTTATTCGTGATGACAAAGATAATGATGATGCTGACAAGAAAGAAGCACAGGAAAAAATGTTTGCCTCAGATCTTGTCAATGCTCTTTCCGGGCTTTAAAGGATGATTCTGGAATTGATGGAATACCTCATATATTACATGTGATGTTGGTTAACATACAGATGTATTTTAGCATACATTACAAGCGAAGTTACAAAAATTTACAAAAATACCACAAAAAGCTAAAACCTGGTTATACTCTTTATCTTTTTCTTATGTTCTTCAATTTTTCTTACATAGACATACTTTGATATACAAAAGATTTTATAATCTCGTTAATGCAGTCTGTGTGGGCCAGCATTTCAATTGTGAAGGTGGAGAGCAGTGGGACTGAAGAGGCTGCTGGTGATCGCAAGGATGCTGTCTCCTGGGGGGGCCAGTCAGTGGATTCGCGCCAGAATCCCTCGTGATCTTTGTGCGCATGGATCTGGAGGGAGTCTTGGTCGAGGAGGTTTCCTTCACTCTGGTGATCAATGCCTGTGCGGCGATCCCCAGCCTGGAGCGCGGACGAGTCTTGGTTGCCGTGGCATCGAAGAAGATTGCAATTCCCTAGACGCGAGACCCGTGTTTGATTCCATGCCTGAGCGCGACGTGATCTCCTGGACTGCGATGCTCACTGCCTACATTGAATCGGAGGAAGCAGCACTAGAGATCTTCCAGGCAATGAAGCTCGAGGGAATTCCCCCAAACCAAATCACTTTTCTCAACCTTCTGGCAACATGTAGCCACTCAGGAACGGCCACCAGAATTTCCAGGGCATAATTTCAGCCTCTCCAGATCACTATATCTGTATGATTGATCTCCTCGCACAGTGTTAGAGACTGCAAGAAGCTGAGCATCTCATTGATGAAATGTCCTCCCTGAAAACTTTTCCTGCTCCAAATCCTGTGCGACTTATCCATGACACCAAGCTGTGGCAAGGCATGCTCCTGAACTCTCTTAGAAGTGTGGTTAAGTGACTAAAGTAGAATGAAAAATTTAGTTGTTTACAATTTGGTATCAACTTCCACCATGCTTCCACACTTGGGGATCCACAATTACAAACCCTAGCCCCAACTATGGCCAACAAGAGGATTGGGGAGAAGCCCGAAAGAGGATTCGAGAAGAGAGTGACGAGAGCTGCTGCTATCTGCCCAAGAGCAAATGCGATTGCTGGAGATGAGATATCGTCAAAGCCCGAAGAACCTGTTCGATGTTTTTGAAGGTTTCAATTCTGACAGGAAGCTGATGTATTTGGATCTGCTGCTTGAGAGTTGGGACAAGTTGTCGCCAGAGCAGCAAGAGAAACACAAAGGCATCGGCCCACAGTATGTACTTGAAATGGCGCTGCAACAAGCAGACAACGAGGCACAGGAATCAAAAGTGAGAATGGTGTTGGAGAAGTACCCAGAGCTTCTTTTCAAATCTTGGGAGTGTATCCACAAGAAGCTGAACGGCGAGGAATGGCTTGATGAAATCTATAGAGCTTGCTGGTACAAGCTGACACTGGAGGAGCAGTAGCAGTACAAGCACAAGTCCACAACATGGCATAGAGTTAAAGATGGCAAGTAAGTGTGTCAGTTTGCATGAATGTTTATGTTTGCTGCTGCTACAGGTCGAGCATTTGACATCGACTATCAGGGCAGTGGAGTAGACTCGTTTTACGACGCCCCAAACAAAATCAAGAAGGAGACTGATTTTTC